GCATTACAGCATACCTTTCAAAATCAAACTGGCTTTTAAAATTCTTTCCATTATTTTTATAGAGTGATTGCCAAAACTTTGCATTATTTGCATTAGAATTAAATGCACGTGCACGTGCATTTACGTACACACACACACACACACACACACACACAGTAAATGTGATACATCCTAGATATAAACCACTCTGGAATCATCAGAGAACCCTAGAATAAATGACAAATCTGAAACTCCAAAGTTCTTTACATGGTACTAATGAATACTTGAAGACAGGATGGGCAAACAAATCCATCCTCAACAGTGACTTTAAAGAGGTAGAGGTTCCAGTTATCAGCATTACTTGAGAGAGCTTTGTCAAAATGTACAGCATAGCCACAGATGACAGTATGCAAGGCCACTCAGCTGTATTTACTGGTATGTGATGGGGTACTAGAACAGGAAGTAGACAGGAAAACATCTTATGTGACAGCTGCTCCAGGTTATCCTAATATTTTGACATTAATAGGTATAAAAAAACCACAGTCCTTCAAGTTCCTTTTCTGCTAACTGATATGGCTGTGTTTTAGATTGAAGAAGAAATTCTGTTTAATTGAGTCATTCATTCAAAGACTAACTTTATTTTGGGAAATGGTAGAACTCTGCCCTATATTTAAATGTTTTAACAAAAACAGAATAATTAATTATTCTAAGGTTCCCCAGTAACTGGTGTACCAGTGTTCCCCTAGTAACAATTAAGCAATAATTATCAATTCATAATCTCTGTGTTTAAAGTTAGTGTTAAATGATCAAAAACAATTTTGATTTAAAAATAACTTCTCAATAGTTTTATACAAATACATTCCATTTTACTTATATACTAGCATTTTTTTTTAGCTTGGTGATCATAATTATACATCTCCAGGTGATACTGATGTTTGACAGTCCAGGGACCCTACTTTGATAATCACTGATCTAGCTTTTATCTGAATACTTCTAATGCTTTTATGAGGACACAGTGAAATTTTCATTATTAGAAACTCTCATTACACAAGGCAAATGGATCTCTTGAGCCCAGGAGTTCGAGACCAGCCTGGGTAACATGGTGAAACCCCATCTTGAAAGAGAGAGAGAGAGAGAGAGAGAGAGCGGGGGTAGGGGGGAAGGAGGGAAAGAAAAAAGAAAAGAAAGGAAAAGAAAATAAAAGAGAAAGAAAAAAGAGAAGAGAAGAGAAGAAAAAAGGAGCAAAGACAGAAAGAGGCTGGGCGCAGTGGCTCACACTTGTAATAATGGTACTTTGGGAGGCTGAGGCGGGCGGATCACCTGAGGTCAGGAGTTCGAGACCAGCCTGGCCAATGTGGCAAAAGCCCGTCTCTACTAAAAATACAAAAATTAGTCAGGTATGGTGGCAGGCGCCTGTAATCCCAGCTACTCAGGAGGCTGAGGCAGGAGAATTGCTTGAACCTGGGAGGCAGAGGTTGCAGTGAGCAGAGATCATGCCATTGCACTCCAGCCTGGGCAACAGAGTGAGACTAGGGGAGAGACTGGGAAAAAGACGGAGGGGAGGGGAAAGGGAGGCAGGAAAAGGAAAAAAGAAAGGAGAGAAGGAAGGAAGGAATTCTCATTAGAGAACATTCAATGTAAAACCAGAAGCTCCCATTTCTTACAGTTTTTCTACCTAGAACACCACAGAATACTATTCTTTCTCATATATGAAGGTCACTCAATCTGAAGAAAACTCCCTATCTTTAAACTTACCTTCTTCAAAATAAGACTCACCAATTTCTTCAACCATATCTCACTCTCTAGACTACTGAAGGCTTTTATCATTCCTTATAGACACTATAGTTCTTTGTGTCCCCTTTAATACATGGCACTTACAATTTAACACAATAAAAAAGTCTTAAATCTCAATAACAGTGTACATGTGGCTTATTAATCTACTAAATATCAGCTTTGTAAGTACACTAGGTCTTTCAACAACTGTATTATAGCACTTCCCAAATGCCAAAGTAGGTACTAACACTTGATAAATTTTTAAATGATGCAGAGTAAATGAGAAAATACCAGTGTAGTAATTTTTTCATCAACTTAAAGTTTTTCAAGTTAAATTACTCTATTACTCTGAGTTTAAGTCCTTCCTAAATATTGGGAGTCACCTTTAAAATAAACTAGTAATGGAAGATGGTAGTTGTCTTTTTAAAAGTCCTTACATGGCAAAATTAAGTTTTATATTTCACAATCCTTTTTAAAAATGTTGGTCTAGTGTCCTAAAATACGCAGGTAAAGAGGTTCATCTGATCTAGCTTCTGCTATCATCTAGGTAGCCAAGCACTTAGAATAATTTAAATAATTTGCAACAACCAATCACAAGCTCCACTGATCACTTTTTTAATTAGTTTATTGCAGCAAAGTAAACCTCCCAATGGGTTCCAGCAAATAAAAGGGCTTCAAAGTTATTTCACACTAATTTCCAAGACTTCTTAGTTTCCCATACCCATCTCCCACTTACCTTTATGATCCTAAATAACACTCCAACCCAGTCAATCTGACTACCTCAAATTAAGAGAGGATTGTGATGGCAGAAACTTACCACCACTTTTTGCAGTTTAGATTATTTGCCAACTTTTGAACTACAAATGACACCATCTATGACAGGAGACAGCAAATTATGGCCCACAGGCCAAATTCAGCTCACCATCTTTGTGTAAATAAACTTTTATTAGAACATATTCACATTCATTTGATTACACATTTTTCTATGGTGGCTTTTGTGCTACAATTGCAGAGGAAAATAGTTAGGACAGACTATATGGCCTGTGAAGCCCAAAATATTCACTATCTGGTCTTTTACAGAAACATTTACCAACCTATAATCTCAGGGAATAAACTATTTGCTACCAAAGCAATATTTAAGATATGTAACAATAACCATTTACTAGCTCAGAACACCAGTCGTCCAAATGGGAATATCTAAATACAAATATCGGTATATCTGAAGTCCTTTATCCTACTCTGTATGAAGATTTTGTTGCCCACCCAAGACAGAGCACTTACTTACCTGCTCAGTGAGCTAATCTTTAACATACATTTCTCAAGGACTCACTAGCAGAATAGTGAAGAATCCATGAATATGTTGCTCTGTGCAATCTAAGGTAAAAAAAAAAAAGTTGCTACAAAACACTCAAAACTATATAATAAAGAAGCAACTGTATAGAGCTACATAAGAATTTCCTTTATATTTTAGATTCCAAATACAAAACTTTTAAAGGCACTTAAAGTAGAAAAGCTTAAGTTCAACATTTTAGGTAATATTAACTGCATTAAATAATGTAAATTAAATTTCCTTTTGTGTTAAATAACAAGATTTTCGTTTCCATCTGTGTGAAGTTGAAATCAAAAGATAGTATCTCTACATTATTCATGTAGCTATCAAAAATAAATGACACTGGAACCTCTAAAAAATAAAGTCACAATATCAAAGTACTTTGAAACTAGAAAGCACTTAAGAGATCCCTCCACATTATACAAATGAGAAAGTTTCAATATGACATGAAACACTTAAGTTCAGAGAACTAATTAGTGGCCAGAAACAGAACTAGAATCCAACACTCAATCATTAGTTTGGAACTCTTTCTACTTCATGACCAGGTATGCTGATATTCTAGGAAAGCGTAGAGTGATGCTGAAATATTCTGCAGGTTTGTTTGTTTAGAGGATTTTGGGGGGCTCACCACATTGCCCAGGCTGGTCTCAAACTGTCAAGTGATCCTCCTGCCTGCACGCTCGAGGTAGCTGGGACTACAGGTGCATACCATCATGTCCAGCTTCTAGCGTTTTAAAAGTGCAAGAACCATACTTGTACTATAGTCCAACCAACTTAGGCAACCCTCTTGTCTTTTTAAAAATCAATCAACTATAAAATTATAGAAAGACAAAAATGATTAACTGTAAAGCAACTCTTATTAGAATGATCAAAGAAACAACCGATTATGTTGTTATGCTAACCAATTGTCAAATATCAACAAAAAACAATGATACTGAAGGGGCAGAATGATGGGTACTCATATATTGTTAATTTAGCACAATCTTTCTAAAGGGTAATTTGGAAATATTTTGAAGAGCCTAAAAAGTTCTCACTGTCTAAACCACTTACTCCATTTACATGAGTATATCATAAAGAAAGAGCCTAATATAGAGATCAAATTTTACAAACAAGGATGTCTATCTCACTATTATTTATAATGGTGAAAGATTAGAACAACCTAATATCCAAAGAGAGAAGTAAATTGTGGCATATTCATACAATAGAATATCAGGCAGCCATTTTTAAAAGTCACATTTTCAAAGACATGAGTAAATATTCATGAAGTTAGGTTATAAAAAACAGGGTACATAACTATATGGTCAGTATAATCTCAAGTTTGTTATTACACACACACACAAACATGTACACACACTCATACATAGAAATAGCATAGACAAAGACTGAAAGGAAATACAGAAAAATATTAACAGGGTTATCTCTAGGTGGTGAGATTGCAGATAATTTTTTCTCTTCTTTATAACTTTTCAGTATTTTTCAAATTTTTAATAATAATCATGTATTAGTCTTATACTCAGAAAACATTATTTTAAAAATTCACTGTTGTCAATTTTAAAATTTTTATAGTTCATATTAAACAATAAATAAATATTAATCGTACTCAAAAGTATATCTAAATTATGGAAAATAAATCACTAATGTGTAAGAGTATACTTTCCACACATACATAGGTGGGCAACTTTGAATCTAAAAGGTAACATTATTTTATTTCATTCGAGCATAGAAAGTTGATATTTAATAAATAAGAAATGTAAATCTTTAAATAAAATTGGTGCAAGGCATCTAAAAATTGTGCTACTCTGGCATAACACTGGAGATATAAACACTTTCTCTAATATAATGCAGACATTCAGTGTTAGGTTAAAATAGGAATAATGCAGTACATATATGGTGACTGAATTATTAAGTGAATTATATCTTTTTTTTTTTTTTTTTTTGGTCAGCGTGACTAGAATTGGTCTCTGCTAAAGAAAGAAAGTAATACAACACCATACCATTATTTTAGTTGGAAGAGCCGCACCAAAAATCATGACAAAAAATTGTGTAACCATAAGAAAATCCAGTGGCCTGTTGTTGATGACGTTAATGATCTCTTGCTAAAATTTCAAGTAAAAGAGTCAAACTGCTTAAAGTATTAAAAAAGCACAGCAGTGTATGGTCTGCAATAATTTGAAAAACACTAAGAACACTCTTCAATGTTTCCTCATTTGCAGACTATCAAACATGATCTTTGAAGTCAAGGATTGCATCTACGTCCTTTTACCAATCTTGAATATATATTCTGTTACAATATAGTAATGACACAAAGGGATGTCACAGACAAAAAGGCAAACTGCATGTAATTTAAAAAGTTAACTTTAAGATTATATGATTCTAATTTCTGATTTTTAAAAAATCATATAAATATATAAAATATAAAATACATCCTAATATATTTTTACATAAGAGCTGAGGTTTACCATTTTTAACAAAAATTCTGAGATGGAATTAATAAAAAACAATTTTCATATATACCACAGAGCAATAAGTTTAAATCAGACTATTTTGAGTTGTGTAGCCCTTTATTAGCAACTAAAATAGAAGGTATCTGTTGTACAACATGGGTAGTAATTGACTATAACTGGAGATTTATTATATTCTAATACAGATCATTTATAAATGCAATTTCTTTATTAAAAAGCTTCCACCTTTTTGTTTGTTTGTGTACAATTTGCAAAACTATTCTGAAAGCGGAATATATGTGCACAAGTCTGCAAAGAGTGCAAATTTAGGGTATGGTAAATGCTTTACAAGTTACTTTCAAAAAACCGTCTGCCACAACTGAGCCTTTACATTGTCATCTTTTTTGATGAAAATATTTTGATGCCAGCCTTCCTTCCACTGCCCTAAACTATAAAGCATTTTTTAATGAGTTGAAATTAAGGAAGGACTACACCTACTAGAAAAAAAGAGAAGAAAGTTCTATTAGTTTGAGGTTTCAGAATCCCCCCAAACCAGGACCAGTATCTTGGTAAAGGCTAGGCTGGGACCCCGGACAGAGTATGAGAATGTGCAGGTGGCATCCCTGAGGATTCAGAGCTTCAGTGGACTGTGAGTGCTCCAGCTGCATAACTCACTGAACTGTCTTGCCAGTTTCTACACTGGCTTGACTGGGCATAATTCAAAAAGGAAAAGCTCATATTCATTCCATTCTTCTGGAGCTCTGTGATAGCCTAGAAAAAAGAAAAATTTAGTTAGGACACACATCACATAAAAAAGTGGGCACTCAATGTGTTTGTGGTTTGACTTTGTCCACTTCACAGCTGAAGCCTAGATATCTCTTTTGCTCTTTTGTTACTTGAATTTCTCTTGTTGTATCATATTAAAATAGAAAAAAAAAAAAAAAAAGAATTCCTTATTCTCTCAAATAACTTCTAATCTTGTTTCTTGATAATTAAGCATCAGTCATCATTTACCCTCTCTCTCCCTGTAATAAGGCCATTTTTTAAACCCTTTTTAACTTTTTAAACATATTCTCTTCACTGTATAAACCAAATCCCTGGCCACTTCTGTCTTAAGACATCAGAGTCTTTATCTGACTTTGACTAAATTTGAAATGTATATAAATTAAAATCCAGATCTAAAAGGTATATGCTAGGATTTTTACTTTAATTGTAGATTGGTTCAGCATTTACTTTATAATAAAAATTTTATTTGATTCAATTAAGATTTTAGGAAATTAATACAGTTTATTCTAGCTTCAATTTCAAAAATTAGTTTAAGTGGAAAAGCTTTTCTTTGAATCAATCAATACAGTTTAGAAGAAAAACCCTTCCTAAAAACTCACTATATATTACCTTTCAAATCACATTAAAATACTACTGGACTTAAGGTCCTACCTTAGTCTATTCTGGACTATATTATCTTCTCCATTATTTCCCTGCCTCTCCAAATGAGCCCATTGTTACTTTCTCCTCCCAATCCTGAGTATACACTTTCTTCTTTCTTAATGAATGTCATATTTTCATTCTTCTTGAATGAAAATTAATAGTTTTCCTAATTAGAAGAAAAAAAAAATGCTATTTCTCTTTCTAAAATCCAGCTAACCAAAACTTCTGACTCTTATCATTCCTTAACTGAAGTAAGCGTTATTTTTGTTTTAATGAGAAAAACACACATCATCTGTCTTGCTTTATCACATTATGAACATCTTAAGTTTAAGAGCAGAATCTTCCATTTATTTTTTATAGAGTCTAGACCACTAAATAAAACCAAAAAAGTAGTAAGACCATATATCTCTTAAAAGGTCATGTTGGTTTGTATTTATAAAGAGCACATTGGAACTAAGAGTCAAGAGAAAATGTGGGTCTCTATTCTAAATAACTTTCTGTATTTAACAGAAAGTATGGCACTGTATTCCAATGATAAATAACTTTATTCAAGTAACCAAAAGCAATGGAACTCCAAATTATACTAAAGATACTAAAAAGAAACCTGACCATAGGCACATAAAACCAATGATGCCATTGTATCACAACAATAATGAGATATTTTGGAATATTATATGACCAAATGTTAAAAGTCAAGGCTTCCTAAGGATACTTACATTTAATAACACCCCAATGGGATGTCTTCCACATATAGTATTATGGTATTTCTTCAAGTAATTGCTAAAAGATACAGGGTCTAATTGTTCTATAATACTCATACCCTAAAAAAAAAAAAAAAAAGAGGAAGAAAAAAATAAAAGAAAAAGGACAATATTTATTATTTCCTAATTATATTTTTAAACTGTTACTTAAACATAATTCTTCAATTAGGGAGACACAAAGAAAACAGATTAAATAAACCTTGTGAAACATCAAACTCATTCATCAAAGCTATCACCATTATAGTCAATTCTCTACTAACAGAAAACTTTTAATCCCCAGTTTATTTTCTCTAAACCCCAGGTATGTTTCTATACTACTTTAACCAGTTGTCATTCAGCTGACAATCCTCAAACATTTCATAATATCTTTCTTCCATAGAAGGAATACACAAAAGTAAATCTGCTGTGAAAATTTGTATATGAAACCTAAAATTTAATTTACTTTGTGGCTGTTTTCTCCATATCCGTTATATTCTTCCTGTTATTGGCATTAAAAATCAAGAGTTAATTGTAATTGAACTGTTTCCACAACATATACTTAAATATCAACCATGTAAGGTATTTTAAATCACCAGCATTAAATAATCTAGGTTTGTGAAAAAAAAAATACCACAAATTAACAAAAAAGTTAGCATATTTTAATTAATTTAAAGCTCATGATAAAGGCAGGCTTAAGCAACACAGATCTTTTTTTTTTTGAGCTGGAGTCTTGCTCTATCACCCAGGCTAGAGTGCAGTGGTGGGATCTCGGCTCACTGCAACCTCTGCCTCCTGGGTTCAAGTGATTTTCCTGCCTCAGCCTCCCAAGTAGCTGGGATTACAGGCACACACCGCCACACCCAGCTAATTTTTGTATTTTTAGTAGAGACCGGGTTTCACCATGTTGGCCAGGCTGGTCTTGAACTCCTGACCTCAAGGGATCTGCCCACCTCGGCCTCCCAAAGTGGTTGGATTACAGGCATGAGTCACTGCACCCAGCCTACAACACAGATCTCTTATGAACAAGATTAACAATAAAGGAAAGCTTTTTATCTCTTTATTCTTTAAGCTAGAATGCCTTGTTTTCACATCTTAATACAGAATTAAATTTGTCAGACTATTGTAAAAACAACCACTATGACTTGAACATTAGTTTATACTAAATTCTACAATCTCCAAATACATTCAAATAATGTATTTACAACTCATTAATATATAGCAACTTTAACTCACCAAGTTGGGGAAACAAATCATTGATTCTAGCTGATTATACATACACCAATTATATTATTTTCTTACTCAGTTAAAACACTTTCTATTAAATAAACTGGATTCATACTCTCTGGGAGAAACCTAAATGGTGGTTTAGGGACTTAACTGGTTATTTTGTGTTTTTGTTTTTATTTCACATTTTAAAAAAACAGATACAGTGTAAAAGCACCAAAAGTAATCAAATAAACATCCGTTAAAACCAAAAGTCATCTGGAAAATGATAATCAGTGGGTAATATAGAAATTTTACAGTGGCAGCATCAAAATTTAATTCTATAAAAAAACTTTCCTTCAGAATATTCAACTCCTTCACAAACATTATCAATATTCCATATTTTATATATATATATATATATATATATATATATATATCTCTGAAACATAGACATATACATGTGCAATCAACTTTGAATTGCTTGCACATCAATTAGCCACTCTCGGATTGGTCCACAACCAGTTTGTAATGTTAAGTTGGTTGTTCCCTGCCAACCACAGTGCTTCCAGGTCAACATTCTCCACTGACACTTGGTATATAAGCTCAGAGAAATACAAACTTAAAAGTTAAACCTAAGATGGGCCAGGCATGAGGTGGCTCATGCCTATAATCCCAGCACTTTGGGAGGCTGAGGCGGGTGGGTCACCTGAGTTCAGGAGTTTGAGACCAGCCTGGCCAACACGGTGAAACCTCATTTCCACTAAAAATATAAAAATTAGCCAGTCATGGTGGCACACGCCTATAATCCCAGCTACTTGGGAGGCTGAGACAGGATAATGGCTTGAACCTGGGAAGCAGAGGTTGCAGGGACCCGAGATTGTGCCACTGCACTCCAGCCTGGGCGACACAGCAAGACTCCATCTCAAAAAACAAACAAACACACATACACATACACATACACACACATATACAAAGTTAAACCTAATATAAATAATATCATAATTCTGATGCCAAAAACATTACAGTACATTTCTAACCCAAGAATGGATGGCACTAATGCAGAGATGGAATTATAAATCTCTTCCATAAATAATGGATGATCAAGATATAACTTCCCTAGAGCTAAATGAACAGAGGCCCAAAACAGGCAAAAGTCCTGGTTCTAAATTTCTAATTGCAGACTCTTTCTCACTGACTATTCTGATGTATTAGAGTATAACAAGACTCATACTAACAATTATTTGAACACTTACGATAGCTACAACTTGCCTACATATTGTAGGTGAACTTTTAATGCTCTGGAATGAAGTCTATCTAGGACAGCTTACCTTAAATATAAATCACTTATTAATAAATAATGTGACACCGAGATTCTAATGTACATTTTAATATTAAAATCTCAAAGCACATTCAGAACAAACATCACATTTAACTGATATGAATTTAAACAGAAGAAAACTAATGATCACATTTCAGAAGACAAAGAATTCAAAGTAACTGGTCAAGAAAAACTAACAGAAAAACATAGAAATTAAATGCAGAAAAGATACTAGTAAGTAAAGAGTTAAAAATGAAGATATACTGGTTAAATTACGAAAGAAAATAAAAAATTGATATGATAGGAGTTAAGAAATTAAATGTGCAAAAATTTTAATTCTTTAAAGTGTGCTATAAACCTACTAGTGCAAAAATTAATTCAATTATACTTAATTAGCTGACACAAGTGTCTTTTTATAAGGAAAGACAGAGGGGAAAACTAAGGCTTTTCTCATAGGTGAACCTCTAATTGAAAAATTCATGAAGTAGGCAAACAAAAGCAATAATGATAAAATTTAGAAATGGAACATTATTAACTAATACAGAATAATGGCAAATACACTTTTAGATATATCTATGTTTTTATGTTAACAGCTGTGAGATTACTATCAGGAAAATTCCAAAAAGACAGAAATGCTACTTCAATGCTGGTGGCAAAAGTCCAAGAAGATGAAAAAGAATATCCTTCCCCAATTATGCTGAATTAGCTGTTTTATTTCTTAAAATAGTAGAAGATATCATCAGTGAGTCTAAAGTCCAGGCAATGAGAGCTTCCTAAGGCCTAGGATAGTGAAAATTTGATTGTTCACATAAACTTGACCTAATGTGGGGAGTGAAATGGGTCACTATACTATTCATTCAGCTCTAAGATGCTCTAAGATAAGGCAGACATTATAAACACCAAAAGCCCATCCATCAAGGATACAGGTTTCTGAGGAATTTAAGTTTCAGAAAGAAATCCACAAATTAAGGATACAGGTTTCTGAGGAATTTAAGTTTCAGAAAGAAATTCACAAATTGAAAGCAAACTCCCTAAATTTAAGGGGTGAACCAATCTATCATTGTGTTGACTCTTCAAGTAATCGGTGAATGTTTGTGATGTCAAACTCCAAGTGGCAACCCTAAACTAAATAGGCAGTATTAACTGACAAAGCTCAAATTCAGGACTCTGATATGACAACAAATTATTTTCCTTCTTTAAAAAAGTTTGCCTAGATTTAATAAAATGACAATCTAAAAATTATCACCCAGAAGTAAATCTCTCCCAAAAGTAATAAATGCAAAGGAGTAGCAAAACTTTTAGATGCACTTACGAAATAAAAACTAGAATCATTCCAACCACATAATTAACACCACATTATCAAATCATTAGAATTTTGGGTTTATAGTTTAAAGGATATACATTTATATTTGCAGATAAGTACACATTCAGTGACGTGGGGTAGGAAAAGGAAATACTCTAGTTTCTTTAAGAGGCATCAAGATAAAATCGTTAACAGTGAAAGTTTTATGGACAAAACTCACCTTGAAAATAGCACTGCAAAGTAATGTACTAATAAATGGCTATCTTACAAGCGATGTTATAAAACTTACTAAGAAGCTATTGGCTTAGGTTCAAGAGAAAGAAGTGACAAATGAGGTGACAAAGGAACAATTTTCACTTTTAAAATAGTAGGAAGGAAGAAAAGTAGTTCATGTTCAAATTAAGTGAAGTAACTGATAAATTTAAAAGAAAAAGAAGTTACAACAGATGAATACTATGACATTTTCAGATTATCCTTGCCGAATCATAATTTGCCAATGTCCATAATGAAACACTGGTCTACACCCAAAAGAGTAGTATAATAAAAATGATAACCTATGACCATCTCATATGAATAACTATGACTAATATTTCAAGTAAGTAAAGTTTACAAGATTAATATCTCCAAATAGGTTTTGCTTCAGTCACAGTAATTATTGACATCGCAAAGCACTAATTACCAAAGAAATTGGTCTATAGCCAAAAAAATTGGAAGACTTTCAGAGTTTAGATATCCTATGCTACAGTTACATAATTTTTCCCAACTACATTTGGTAGTTCATTCTATATTTTGTGTTTTTTCACATAATTAATTTCTAAGATATTCAAGTGCTAGATATATAAACATTTTGCAATAAGAAGAATAGCTATTTTTCTTTTGCAACTTAGAAATGGTTTTATTTTCTAGCCTTGTAATAACTATATTTGGTAATAGTTTTCAGTTAAAAAGGACCAAAACTTAATTAACATGCTAATTTTGAACAGATGTAATCTAAAATTTTATACTTAGTTTCTTTTTACTCTATCAAACTTTCAAAATGTATACTTATTACTGCAATTCAAAATCGTTAACATTTTTATAATGCTTATGCAGAGAATCATCCAAGTACATTTTGTCTGAAAAGATCACATATGAAAACTAAGATACTGGTTCTCAAACGAATTAAATTATTTATAATATAAAATAATCTCTTAGAAAAGAAATACGCCAAAGTACATTCACCATCTGATTAATCAATTAAGACAATACATTATT